ACAAGCTAGCGACCAAGGCCGAGAGAAGGCAGCGATGCGGTTGGCAATTCTAATAAGATGGGATTCCTGATCAGGCTGAAATCCACCCTGTTCCCTGTCCAGTAGACACCTGCTGGTCACGTCACGCAGAAAATGTTGACATTTTTTAAAGCAAACTCCACATGTTTTATATAAGTAGTACTGATTGGAGAAAAAGTGTGAAGTACTTCCCACTTCCGAACTAAAATACTATAAGCGTGACGTCATTTATTTATGGACACCCATAAAATTCCACTAAGCAGTATAGTTACTTTAGACCTCTAAGTGACATCTTCCGTCAGAATACACCATTCCCAACAGAAAGTTAAACTTCACTGTCAATTTCAGTTTTTATATGTAAGATCAAGAATATGTTAAAATGCGTTACGCCACATATGATCTGTATCTCCACCTGTCACAAACTGTCACTAAGACCCACCTCTCCCCTTCTCCCCCCCCCCTTTTTTTCCCCTTCAGAAGCGTGATATACTTGAAGGACGGCCCCTTCAGTAGAGTTTTGCGCTAAGAGTATAAAATAAAATAAAAATCTGTTCACCAAAATTTAAAGAGGGATATCCCTCAGTAAACAAGCATCCGACCTAAGAAGAAAATCTACCGAAAGTGAGAGAGAATTAAAGGAAAGACAGCGAAACACGGATCACGAGGTTCGAACAGATGAGTCTTAGTGGAGCATGGAGGAAAGACAGCGAAACACGGATCACGAGGTTCGAACAGATGAGTCTTAGTGGAGCATGGAGGAAAGACAGCGAAACACGGATCACGAGGTTCGAACAGATGAGTCTTAGTGGAGCATGGAGGAAAGACAGCGAAACACGGATCACGAGGTTCGAACAGATGAGTCTTAGTGGAGCATGGAGGAAAGACAGCGAAACACGGATCACGCCAGTGGTTCAAACAGATGAGTGTGAGTGGAGCATGGAGGAAAGACAGTGAAACACGGATCACGTCAGTGGCCTAAACGAGATGAGTGTGAGTGTGTCATGACGGAAAGACAGCGAAACGCGGATCACGTCAGTGGCTCAAACAGATGAGTGTGAGTGGAGCATGGAGGAAAGACAACGAAACACGGATCACGTCAGCGGCTCAAACAGATGAGTGTGTGTGGAGCATGGATGAAAGACAACGAAACACGGATCACGTCAGTGGCTCAAACGAGATGAGTGTGAGTGGGGCATGGAGGAAAGACAACGAAAAATGGATCACGCCAGTGGCTCAAATGAGATGAGCGTGAGTTGAGCAGGGGGTTCGACCACTGGCCAGATTGCCCTATAGTGTACTTTGAATACGATGAAATTTAGGACTTGACACCTTATTTTTTAACGGTAATCTCAAGAAATTATGCACGTTTAAAAAAAAATTAATTAATGTAAGATGTTAAAAAATTGTGTTTTGACATTTCTGAATATAGTATGTTTATGTGTGTTTAGTCAGCTGTCAAGTGTTAGAAAGTGATACGATGCTTTACATCAGCTGTTGTATTAAATTTAATGTACTCCCATTGAAAAATCAAGTTCTTTTTTTTTTTAAATCTATTTATTGTTGTTTTTGTTTTTAGCGACTGGCATCAAGCTGAACATTTCATGTACTGTGCCTGGGTGACCAACCTAGGTGTAGCCCTAGCGCTATAGATGGAGAATCCCCGGTATTATAAGAGCGGGCTGGCCCTCTCAATGACTTAATGGCGTCCCTCTGATTTTTAGACGCACGCGCAAACAGCACCAGACTAGTCCCCCAGCAAGCTCTTCCCTGCCCCTGCTACTCGGGTCATCTTCTATTCTATTCATCCCTGACCCGCTATCAGGGTAATTGCCCTTGTCTCTGGATCGATCCTGTCAGAATCTCATAAAAACAGATAATGAAAGGGGTGGCCCGCCGCATTACAAAAGGTGCTCACTAGTCATGTAAGGAGACCTCCGCGGTATAAGAGATTGGTGGTCAAAAAGTCGGGTGGGGGGGTGGCTTGCTCACGGAGAATGAATCGAAGCTTTAGAACATTGGAACAAACCCGGGGGGGGGGGGGGGCTTTTAGGGTG